GCGTTAACGACGGCGCAGAGATACAACTATTTGTACTTGATGGACGTCCGTGCAGCATCTGAAAAATTGAAGGCGCGATGACGCGAAGCGTGAGTTCTCAATGCCCTGCTATATGCTGCCAATGAGGTGTCGCTCAGATTCGGGAGAAAAGTTAAAAAAGAGGCCCGAACACATCTCTCCCACCCTCGGCTGTGTTATTCATGTAGTGTTTGAAGCACCAATACGAATAAGACGAACGGAAACAAATACAATAAAATATAAATGGATATGGATATGGATGTGGAGGGAGGGAAAGGGTGCGCGTTTACGACGGCGCAGAGATACAACTATTCGTACTTGATGGACGTCCGTGCTGCATCTGAAAAATTGAAGGCACGATGACGCGAAGCGTGAGTTCTCAATGCTCTGCTATATGCTGCCAATGAGGTGTCGCTCAGATTCGGCAGAAAAGTTAAAAAAGAGGCCCGAATACGTCTTCCTTGTCGTCGGCTGTGTTGATACTCGTTCTTTCTTCTTTATTCAGGTTCTTGTCCGATTCTTTCTTATAGGATAGATTTTTAGACCCACGTCTTAAGCTCGTGTAAACCGCAGCACTGACGCGGTTCTCATGGAAATAATGGTGCTTGGATATGTCTAGTGGCTTTAATTTGTTATGTTTTCTTAAATTTTAGAAGTCTGTCGGTCACTTCAATACGTTCAATTTTACAATTTTTACTCAGTACAATTAATAAACTTTAAACCTGAAAATAGCGAAAACTTGTGCTGCTTTGCCAAAATTTTCTGAACCCCTCTCCACGGAGGGGATGCCCCATCAGAAAATATCACATTACGCCCCTCTAACCAGTCGAGAGTCTATGCCCTCAGATGCGAGCCAGTCCGACCCTGCACGATTGTGAATTTAAGTTGAGCATTGGGAGCTCTTCTCGCAGCAAATCGGTGACTTTTTTTGCTGGTAACGAAGAGTTCTTTTCCACAGGGTGGCCTCCTTAAGCAAAACTTAGTCTGTAATTTTAATGCATCTTGTTCGTAGGAAACTCAAATCGTGGTAATTGTTAACAAGTTTTGTCAGTCAAGCAGGAGTGAATTTCAGGCTTTGGCAGTCAGCCCAGTGTTAGTTTTGATCAAAATAAGTAACGAATTCATGTAGTAGAAGACCCTAGCCAAATTTTTCAGGTGTTTTCAATAAAAGTTCAGCATAGAATACTAGGGTATGAAGTTAGTCACATTGAAATTATGAGCATAAAGGCATGAGCTATTATTGTTTCTACTTAGGAGGTCTAATTTCACCATTCCAATTTTTCTCTCAAGTTTTCGGTAATTTAAGAGGAATAATACAATTTCTCTTTCATTGCTTGTTTTCAAAAATACTCATCAAAAAACACTTAAATGATAATGATCTGCTTGAGAATTTCACCAAAAGTTTGAATAAAAAAGGAAACCACAGTATTGTCCAGAATAAATTTTGGTGGACTCTCTTGCCCCAGTGGTGCCTTCTGGATGCTGCAAAGCAGGGAAAATAGTTAACATAATCATTGTAAATAGCCCCTATTTATCGATTTTAATTAAGCTAGAGTTTGACGACCCGCCCATTCAAAATTTTAGTTGTGTAAACAGTTAATATAAAAACACATAGTATTTTGTGGTTATGTTTATCAATACAAAGTTAAAAAAAGTACTTTAGGATGATCTGGTCAGGAAAAGGTATCGCTGGTGATACTACGGAATCATATACCTCAGATTGCTATGTTGGAAATTTTCAGGAACATGTCTTTTAATTTTTTCAAGGATGACTGAATATCGGTATTCCACGTAAAGATTAATTATTAATGGAGATGTTGAATGTGTAAGAAATTTGCGATTTGACTATCGATTCTTACGTAAAAGTTTGCGAAAAACACGATAGTGTCACTGCTTTCCCTGAAATCAACTCCAAAGCTCAAAAAAAGTTCTCAAAGTTGAGGGCGTATTGAAGGGGATATCCCACGCTATCCTGAGAGTCCACTCTACGTAAAGAAAAACTCTCCATGCAAAGATAGGGAGCAAATACATTGACAGGGCTGCCACTATACTTGGGGATTCTAAAACTGAAAGCACGGCAACCCTGAGGGTTGCCGTGCTTTCAGTTACCCTGCTAATGTATTTGCTCCCTATCTTTACATGGAGAGTTTGTCTTTACGTAGACGTGGACTCTCAGGATCATTACAGCTTCGACTTTGAAAGCGTTTTTGGAGCTTGGGAGTTAATTTCAGAGAAAATCAGTGGGACTATCGTGTTTCTCGCGAAATTTTACATAAGAATCAATAGTCAAATTGCAAATTCCTCACACATGCAACATCTCCATTAATCCATCTCCATGTTAGGCGTTAAGATTTAGCGTCAAATCTTTGTCACTGACTAAACTATTAAAAAAAGACGGTTAAAATGCCAAAAATGGTCTCCAAAACTGAAAAAAATCTGAATACGGCGGACTTTATGGTAGACTAGATAGTTGACTAGCTTCTATGTAATTTGTATTGCTGAGTTCAAAATTGACCTTAGTTTTTTTGCAATGACCCATTATCTTCCCACAAAATTAGGTTTCTCAAAAAAATTGAGTTTTTCGTGGGGAAATTCAATTTTGATTCAATTTTTTTGGGAAAACGGTGCGTTATATTTAAAATCAAGGTCATTTTCGGATTTAGCAGCTAAAGTTACTACAAATCAGACTTTAATGAGACCTATCTTTCATTTTAATATTTATTAAAAAAATAAAATAGAAGCGAAAATTTTGAGTTACAGCTAAAAAAAAAAATCTAGTTATATGCTATTAATATTTGATAGCTTGGCCTTGGCTGTAAATAACCTACTACTGTAGGCGCTTAAGCATGAACCTAACTTTGATTTTCAAGACATCAATTTCTCATTCAATCTGTTCACGGTGTGGCTCACACCTCTCAACACTATTACGGTCAGTGGCGTGGCGTGCTTTGAGATATATCGATTGATCTCCCATATAAACCTATGGAAAAGGATCGATAGACAGGGTGTTTACACCTTAATAATCGATTCTTTACCATGGCTTCAATGGAGAAATATCGATAATCGATTAATCACGCCTCGCCACCGATTGCGGTGTGGTGAAGAATTGGAAACAGATATGGAACCGGAGGGAAGCCTCGAAGGCATACAGCTCACCGACTGGCCCGACCGTGGAGACAACGATGAAAGTAGGGGAAAGAGGAAAATAGCAAGAAAATAAACGTGGGATTCCCAATCGCTGATAAGTCGTGAATGAATGTAGAGTCGGTGCGAGAGCTATTATTCTGTGGCCACTATAGCGGTGCACTAAAGTGTATGGCGGGTTACGGAAAACTATTTTTCGCAGGAATAACGATCCCGCTTGTACATGGGTTCCGGGAGATAGAGCACTATTTCTTAAGCGGACAATCGTACTTGGACTGGAGGTTTTGATGAGGCTTGTCCTTCAGAAGCAGCACTAAGTATAACAGAGAAAGCCGTGTTCATCGAGTAAGAGAGAAAAATTTGTGCGCTAAGTGTTGTTACGGAATGTTGTTACCCATCTTCAAAAACGACGAACTCGCTAAACAAGCCCTTAAGCCAAGTATCGCTGAAATGAAAGAAAATAAGCTACGACGTTGAAAGTTGTCCTAGTGGCTCTTCAAAGCTCCTAGTTACACCTCCTAGCGGTAGAACCTAAGCGGTAGAAGATTCTCCAGCGTTGCCAAGTTGCAGCAAAATTCCGGGTTTTTTGGGTTCCTCCTCGTAGATGCAGGATACCTAATTTTACTTAATATTCGTTCTTTAGTCCTGACAACGAACAAACTTACCTAGCTTTCGTTTTGCGCCATTTCAAGTTAGGTACATACAGGTGGGTGAGTGTAAACACAGGTGCACTCGTATGAAGATTTCAAGTCCGGTGTGTAGAGGCGGTTATACTTAACTGATTACTGTGATAGACGTAATCTCAGCTCGCAAATTATAATTTCACCTAATCGTTTTTGCGAAGTTCAGAAATGCCTGGTTTTCAATATGAAATGAGATACATTTATTTAGTGTGTCCAACCCGCCCTCGCACATGCAGTATCTGCGAATTTCTCATGCTCGGTGGGTTTTATCTCGAACTGGTTTATTCGTGAGCTCAAATTGGACGTATTTCTGCCAAACGGAACTATGTGAATGAAGACTTGAGCCCTGAGACCCGTAAGAACATATGCACAACAGTGCTCACGTCATGATGCACATAGCGACGACGGTGAAACTACCAAACCACGTATCTCGTTTGCGGTGTTTAAAAATCTACGCTCGCATTTTATTTTTTTTAAGTAGACCAAATCAATATCATTCCTTGAAATTTTCACGGAATTTTCTCCGCACATAGAGGAAAAATCACAGAAATTTTCAAGACTGGATGTTAAGTAGTTTTTCATTTAAAAAATATAGTATGACAGGAAGTCTGCGACGTCGCAAACCGAGATACGTGGTTTGGTAGTTTCACCGTCGACATGCAGTATCTGCGAATTTCTCATGCTCGGTGCGTTTTATCTCGAACTGGTTTATTCGTGAGCTCAAATTGGACGTATTTCTGCCAAACGGAACTATGTGAATGAAGACTTGAGCCCTGATACCCGTAAGAACATATGAATTGCATTTTGCAAAAAGGAACCACTAGCATTGCAATGATGTTAAGATTGTGCAACTTCATCTTTTGCAATAAAATTGCGGAAATCGTGAAAAACTATGAAATTTAGATGGTAATTTTTGTCTTAAATTTACAGTTTTTAGCGAGTAAAATAGAAACTATTAATGGATAATCGGGTTTTTCCTCCAAGACAAAAGAAGTTGCACAATCTTAGCAACATTGCAATGCTAGTGGTTCCTTTTTGCAAAATGCAATCCATATGCACAACAGGGCTCACGTCATGATGCACATAGTTCCATTTTGCAGAAGTACGTCCAATTATCGCCCGCCGTCAATTTATATGATTGAAATTCTGTTTTAGCTGTGCTCAACAAGACATTCGGAGATCTGAAATTCGCCGAGAGGAGTAATGGGCATTTCAAAGTTTACATGAGGGACGATATACCTGACAAGTTCAACTACAAGCACAACTCCCGGGTCTCTGATATCCTGGCTGTCGCGGACGTCAATTACGCCTTCCAAGATCTGTACAAGACGATCGAATATTATCGAACGAAAGAGAATCAAACCAGTGAGTAAACATGCATTCTCTGAAAATTTTGAAGAACCCAAAGCTTTTGTCAATGTAATCCGAAGAAATAGTAACCAAAATATAGAGGCGTGGCGTGCTTTGCGATATATCGATTGATATGCCATTTAAACCTATGGAAAAGGATCGATAAACAGGGTGTTCGTATCGAACACTTTACAAATCGATTTTGACCATGCCTTCAAATGAGGGAATATCTATAATCGATCATTCAAGCCTCGCCACTGACAAGATAAAACCGCACTTTTAGGTAGTGTTCTACTTCCCATATTAACACAGAGTGTCGGTTAGGTACTCTTTTTTTTTTTACCGAATACGTTGTCTGAGTTTCTACCGCCGGAGATTTGTGTTTGCCGATTTTCAGCAATGCGCCAATCCACACCCCACATGAATCGATGGCTAATGACCGTGGGCGATTTTGAACATCCTATTTTAATCAAATTAAATTATTCATGCCAATTATTTGACACTCGCAATTGAAAATTAGTCGATTTTCATTCACTTCCGGATATCCTATCGCGACGGTCATTAAAACCGGGTGCATGAAGTGAAATTCAATCATTGCTCGGGTATGAACTTTGAACTGAATCGGTTAGTTGTGATAAATACCTACAGATGTTGACCGAGTAATTCTCAACCCGCTTTTTTTTATCGGAAACAGAGAATCCCGTCTTTTACTTATCTGGGCTCAGATGTGTGTGTGTAACGCCATACTGTGAACTACTTCCACGAACTAACATGCGTATTTAAGTCAGATTCCCAACCATAAGTTAAACTATTACTTGAGTGGACAACATTTCGCAATCGGGAACTACAATTTCTGGCTCATCTGTAAAAAACGAATGTGCATGGGGAAACTAATGGTATATGTGTCGCAGGCAATTAGCAATCGCCGGCAATTTGCAAGCGGTTCACACGTTGTTTCAATAAATCGCAATTATGTGCATCGGCATGATGCAGTTTTGAGCGGCTATGGTCTTCAAAAGTATGAGCTCGGCTTGAAGCGCCTTCAGTTTTTGTGATACGTTACGCTTTGTCACGATGTTAGTTTGGTTGCCTGTCCGATCTCCACCCAACTAATGTCATGGAGTTCGCTACACGCTCCTCTGAGTGTGTATATTTCTGCCATGTTTTAAGGATGGAAAAGTGTCTATTCACATTATAGGCAACATAATCAGCACTCTAATCTTGTTCTTTTATTTTTGAATTTTATGATTTTCTGTATTCATTCACCACTGGCTTGTAAATTGCCGGCGATTGCTAATTGCCTGCGACATATGTACGTTGTTTCGAAACCGAGCCAGAAATCGTAGTTTCGGATCGCAAATAGTAGTCCAAATGTTACTTAGTTCCTCTCTTTCAAATCAGTTCGATTCAGATTTCCAGTAATGGGATAGGATCGGGGGGAGCAGTTTGTAATAATAATTAATATTTTTTATAACCTAAAAACCTGTTTTGAGAAACGAGAAGATTTGAAGAAAGGAGAAATACTAAACTATGAATGCGGAACATAGTTTTCGTTGGAAAGCGGTTTTTATTCATTCAAAAAAGTTACTAGCTTTAATCTGCAAAACTCCTAAATATCTCAAGAGCCACTTTCGGTTTCTCAACAACTTAATTCTTGGATCACTCACTTGTCAAGTGCATAGTGTTCCGCGCACATCGTGTCTTCACTGAACCGTTTGTTTGCGGAGGTGGTCGAAGAAACTGTCCACATGTACACCACTTCAGCAAACTGATATCGTCGATACAGATAGTCATTATTATAATTAAGATTACCTACGTAAGTCTTTTTTTGAGGCGGAAAACCAGAACTACGTGAAACCCTCAACTTACCAATTAGTACAAGGGGTGTCCTTCATATTTACAGAGAACACTGTTGAACATCAACCATGTAGGTGAGTCAACAGTCTAATGTTGATGCCCCGAAAGTAAAAGCTTTCACAATCGCTGGGAAAAAAACACATTGGATCTAGAGTCCAGACTCTTAAAATCATCGACAAGAAAAAATACTTTTGATTCCATCGGATTTTTGCTTAAATCAAGAACCAAGCCTCTTAATTTGAGCGGATTTCCTTTCGATTTAAGCTTAAATCTGATTGAATCAAGAGTATTTTTTCTTGTCAATGTTTTCAAGAGTCTGGACTCTAGATCCAATGTGTTTTTTTTCTCCAGTGTTAGCCGAGATACGAGTGGAGGGTCTCTTGTCTCTGGGCCGCCGGAAGGTGACGGTATATTGATAGCACGGTTTGATCGTGATCGGAGAATAATATATAGTTGAGAGTTATGGTGAAAACGGGGAAGCTTCAATTCCATGATACAAAATTCACTAAAACTCTCTACACCTCTTTGGGTAACATGGACTTAATGATCTTTCAAGAAATCCCCACCTTGTTATACCTGAACCGGATAAGCCTCTATATTTGCCTCAGCTAAAGGCTCTTAGATTCTTCCTGTGTACGATAAGTATCTTGATTTATTTTGCGAGGAAAGATCTGTACTTTTAAAGGATGCCTGTCATTCATAATACGTTCAATTTCGTATAATACTGTGCAACACCTCTGTAGTGAAATAGTTGCTTCAGGCGAGGCCGCACGGCAGGCGGGCGGCTAGCGCAAAACTCGCATTGGCGCCTACAAACCTAAGTGGATACTTCAAGCATTGTGCAATGCGTGAAGTATCCACTTAGGTTTGTAGGCGCCAGTGAGCCTCTCGCCGGAAGGTGACGGTATATCGACTGCACGGTTTGATCGTGTCACATGAGCTAATCAGCGATAGAGTCCCTTTATACCCAGAGTTAAGACAACTCGATTATCAGCTGACTGGCAGCCGGCCTTGGCTGGCCATGGAGGCCGAAACGAGTGCACCCAAACGAACGATATTGAGGGATAAGGTTCAGGAATCCTGCGATGTCTGTCACACAAAAACAACAACACCAACAAATTGATCAATTAAAAAGAAAATGAGATTGGTTTGTGAATAATTTCCTAATCTATTTTCATTTTGGACCGATGGAAATAACAATTTACTCTTGATAAACCACAATTAGGTAATATTTTCATTCTTCTTGTTCACATTCGAGGTACCGCCATCTTGGTGCACTCATTTCGGCCTCCATGAGCGAGAACCAATCAGAACTGGATTTTTTTTAGGCCACTTTCAGCCTAACCAAAAGTGAGTTGTCTTAACTCTGGGTATAAGGGACTCTACCTAATCAGCGAAAGGTGCTGAATCCTTATGTTTTCCCTTATGTTTCCAGTTACCCCGAGCAGCGAATTCGGGGTGCACGGCTACAGCAACTTCGAGCCGTCCATGTTCCCGTTCTTCACGGCGCACGGCCCCGCCCTCAAGCGGAACGTGACCGTCCCCCCGTTCGACAACGTGGACCTCTACCCCTTGTTCGCCTACATCCTCCGGCTCCCCCTTCCGCATAGGACCCCCCGCTACCAACTCCGGGGGACCCTGGACCACGTCTCCAGCATGCTCGCCGCCTCCATGCCCTCCTTCGGGCTCTCCACCCTCACCATCGGTATGCTCAACATTATCATTATCCTCTCCGCGGCCATTTGCCTCCTCTTCATCAGCTAGATGGGGTTCTCGCCGACTCGGCCGTGTTTTGAATGTTGTTTGCGGCAACTGTACCACCGTATTCGTTCCTCCAGGTCAGGGTGTCTACAGGTCCCGAAAATCCCGAAAGTCCTGAAAAAGTCCAGAATTTGCTTGACCGGTCCCGAAGTCACGACTAAGTCCGGAAATTTAACTCGAGATCCCGAAAAATTTAAAAATTCACGGTTTTCGCGAGTCAAAGTGTAGTTGTTACGTAGAAAAAATGTCCCCGATCATACATACATATCATGGATTGTTTTAGTCATCAGCAATTTTCATAAATTGGACTCGATTTCCATTAAAATTAGCAGTAAGTGTAGACCCTGACTTGGCAAAAATACTCCGAGGGTCCTGAAAAAGTTCTGAGAAGGTCCCGAAAAAGTCCTGAATTTGGTTTTCAAAAACCTGTAGACACCCTGCTCCAGGTTCTAGGTGTATGGAATATCTCCGTGTCTGGAATTCAGGGCTTTTTGAAATTTGTTTGACAACCCTGAAATTGTCAGGGGATCTTCAAAAAATGTGTGCAACTGTTGTGTAATCAGGGAGTAGTGTAATATACGGTTAAGCTTATGGCTCTAAGGTAAAACACCGGAAATGAACATATTTTGGCTACATTTTGCAATTGGGAACTACGATTTCAAGCTCATGTGCAAAAACACAATTATCTACAGGTAACTTTAATGATGCGTATGTTGTTCCTAAGCTGAGCCAGAAATTGTAGTTTCAAATTACAAAATTATGTCCATTTGTCACCGTCCACGAGATTAGGGGCCTCAGTCTACGGAAAAAAATTCCATGCAACCGATTTTCGTTCAGTTTGACCGATAAGTCGAATTTTAAGCTTCCGGCGAAAAATACTAGTATTATTAAGAAAAATTCGTGAGCGGTGAGCTCATTCCCATGCAAATAGAAAGTGTTAGCTTGTTTTATAATTCGACATTTTCGTACCCTGAACATATCAGATTGGAATTTTAAAAGGCCTTTTCTTGAAAATACATTTATTGAACCGCATCGATAGCTCAATTTTGAGCTTTTGTGAACTAAGGTTCTCTTTTATATTGACGGTTTCGTTCCTGCGAAAGCAGTCTGCTTACGTAGGAAATGAGGAGCAAATGAGCTTTTAAGAATGAATGATACGAGATGTTTCCATAAAAAATTACAAATCAGAGCTTAGCCCGAAAAATGTACAAAAATCATAATTTTTCCGCGAACCGATGAAGATATGAACCAAACTATAGTCGCCAAGTCCAAAAGATATTTTATTTCCGTCCGTTTTTATCAATGATTTTCCTCCCCACAATCCATCTCTTTCCTAAAGAGATTAGAAGTATTTAAATCACAATGATTCGATATCAGTCTCAATTAGAATGCAAGTC